TTTCATTTGCATATTAAAGCTTGTTTAACATATTTGTTATATGGTGCGCATACATGACATTATGTACTAATATATTCCGGAATAACTTTTTATATTATGCTTTCTTTGTTGTATAATCACATATAAACTTCATTTATTGGCATAGCGGATGAACTTTATATGTCATTATACAAGAAAGAAAGCATAATATAAAAAGTTATTTCGGAATATATTAGTACATAGTGTCATGTACGTGTACCATATAACAAATATGTTAAACAAGCTTTAATATGCAAATGAAAATCAAGCTTGTAATAGTATGTGAAAATCATTACACTCGAAATTATATATGCACACATACAAAAGAATAAAAATCTAATATATACAGCATAGATAGAGGACCACTAGAGTATTATAATGGTAAATATATGAGCAATCCATATTAGTTTATAGTATATAAAGATCAATAAAATACATCGTCATGAACTAAAATTGGATACAAAACAAATCAAATTCCAACGCGGACTTTTAATTGATCGGACTATAGCATAGAAACAGCTGAATAATACCCAAAACCGGTCATCACCGTAGGTTTCTGCATCGAGAGCCTACGGTGATGACCTGTTTTTGGCGTTCTTGAGCTTTCTCTATACTCGTAGAAGCCAGTAGTGGCTCTCCACCAGCGATCACCGTAGGTTTTCGATGCAGGAATCTAGATGATGACCGGTTTTTGGTGCTATTCAGCTTTTTCTATGCTAGCAGAGGCCAGTGGTGCCTCTACAAGCATAGAGAAATTTCAAGAACGCTAAAAATCGGTCGGCAACGTAGGTTTCTGCATCGGAAACCTACGATAATGACCGATGCAGAGGTCCTACTGGTTTCTACTAGCATAGAAACAGCTGAATAACACCGAAAATCGGTCATCACTATAGGTTCCTGCATCGAAAACCTACGGTGATGACCAGTGAAGAAGCACGACCGTCTTCTACTAGCACAGAGACACCTGAATAACATAAAAAACTGGCTGTTCCCATAGGTTCTTCAGGGTATTTGTAAAAGACGCGAACACCCACAAACATCCCAAATCGGGAACTAATTCTATCAGTAGATGAAGCTCGGTGAGCTGATTCTACGAACATCCACGGGCACCCAAAATGGTTGAACATTAAAGTGATTGCCTAACGCATACTGGTTTTTCGAACCTACGAACATCTACGAACATCCACGAACACTCATATCTTTTGCCGATGAGTGATCCTATTCCAGTTAGATACATGTCCAAAATATTAGGCTTTTATAAGCTTGTCTAAGAAAAATAGCAGAGACGTACTTTTTCAATTTTAAGCCTTATAATTGAATTTCGCATATTAGTCATTTCACGTAAATCACGACCGTATCTGCTCAATCGGGATTGTCAGATCTTGCTCAACTTAAGATATTCTCGTGAAGGGAAGAGTTTTGTGAATTGTGATGCAAGCCGTTTTGAAAAATATTGAATCCTCGGCTTTTTGAGGATGTTTTATGAAAAGTCCTAAAAATCCACATTTCGACCAACCTGAGTCTTCCAGACCATATCTCAAGAATGGTTCAATTGATTAAGCTGAAATTTTTTGTGGACATATATCTCTATGAGTTCTACTCACGATAAAATGTTCAACTCAAAACACTGAGGGCGCGACTGCGAGTGTGAGTGTGGATGGCGTCGGCACGAGTTGGGTGTGGGTGGGTTTTTCTCGCTTGCTAGACGCTCAGATCACTCACCCGACACTCGCCACCCACATTCGCATCCGCCCACTCGCACACCGCACCTCGCAGACCCACACCCTCTTGGAGGTTAGAGTCGGAATAGGTGAGACTGAGGATTGGTGTGAGTAGGTAGGAATTTAGGGTGACGATGGGTGAGGGTTAGAGTATAGTTGGTTCAGGATGCACGGATAAAGTATGTAAAGGTCAGTATGCAGGATGACGATTGTACTTCATGCTATATTGCACGTAATCTCTAACAAGTGGTTCACGATACGAGAGTGGACATAGCTGATAGAATGAATATACGGAAGCAGATCTTTTCGGGTACTTAGATACAAGATTTCGAGATTCCGGATGGGAACTGATGAGACATGCGTGAATCGATAGAGCTCATCAGATTCTAGTTGGCTGGGCAGACTCTGTATGAATCGTCGTGAAGCAGGTATATGTTAGAGAAAGCTTTGTAAGTTTTATTTGGAAATGTACCTCTAAAACGGCGTATCTTGTATAGTTTTTTAAGGAGTTCCGCATATGCAACATTTTTCAACTGTTACTATTCTACGACATATTTGATTGTATGAAGACAGTTCTGATTCGACCAATATTAGTCGAAAACTTGAGTCTATCGCTAATATCTGTGACGTCTTCACAAGCCATCGCTAGCGGTATTACTAGTGACATTGACTGAATGAAAATCTCGTCGAGTTGCCCAGTTTCATTTCTATTTGATTCCGCAGGACAAATGGATTTATTTGCAAAATTTTTATTTGATTGTTGGCAGTGACGCCCAACATAGTGTTTCATATCGTTTTATGGTATCAGATTTTAAGAAAATGTTAAAAAGCTGTCCAATAAAAAAATATCCTGCTATTCAAAAATACTCACGATTGGTGTTTAAGGCCTCTAAGATGATATTCCCAACAAAATGAAAAACGACAAAGTGACTGACAACAGTCGTTTGCAGCATGCAGAGAGCTACCCACTCACTTTATTCGGTTGTTTTTCTTCGTTTTTTTTGCTTGCTCAGAAAAGAATTTGATCACACTTCAAACTTTCGTTTCTTTTGCGTCAATGTTCGATCCGAAGAAAGAGTAAACAGAAATGACTGAAGACAAAATTCAGTTGCTCCGCATTTTTAATGCACAAAACTATATGAAAGACAAACATTAATTGTGAGTCAATATTGTTCGCGGCTCCATTCATTGCGAAACTGAATGCTGTTACAGTTGGCTTTCGAATAACAATAGCATTATTCTATGCAACTCAATGAGATATCTTCGCTAAGTTCGTCGAACTTCTTTTCTAGAAACGAATGATGAATATACTTCTACAGTTACACGATAATTCAAATTTCTCCTATGTGATATCCAAATATCATTCGAACGTTTCCTTTAAGGAGTACATTCCTACAACAATACCATTCAGTTTTTCTGAATTCTCAATTAACTAAAGATGGATAATACTAATCATTCTGGCACGCCTTTGTCAGTCAATTTGGGTGCGAATGTAATAGAATCCACGTGTGAGGTTGTAGATATGAGTGTCAGAGTGGGTTTGGGGATCCGTGCGAACGTGTATGCGTGTCGGCCTTTCCTCCTTTCAGGGCAAACCCACATCCACACGGATAGTAACACCCAGATCCATACCCACACCCCACACCCCACACCCCACACCCACACCCACACCCACACCCACCCACACCCACACCCACACCCAC